GGGGGGGCGGAAGGCATGGAGGGCAACCATGGATGCCAGGGACAATGGAGGAGGAAGATGGGACATAGCAGAGGGTGGGGGATGGGGAATCAGGGATGGCAAGACAAAGGGCAAGGTATGCAGGATGTAAGAATTGGAAAATTATTTGCTGAGAACATGTATGTTGATGTGCTTGATTGAACCAATACACAGTGTATTTTGGATGGAAAATTCATTTGTGTGTTGTGATGGTATTTAGTGAATTAATGTAGAAAATAAAAAAATAATAAATAAATAAATAAATAAATAAAAGAAAAAGGAAACAACAGACTTAAGGACAAGAAACATTACTAGAGGCAAAGAAGGTCATTTTATAATGATAAAGAATTAATTGAATAGGGATAATGGAACTGGAAGAAGAACTAGACTAACTAGCAAACACATTTGGAGATTTCAATACTCCTCCGAGTAAATGACAGAACAAGAAGAAATAAAAATCAGTAACAATGTAGAAGACTTGAACACTATCAACCAACTTAACTGGCATTTACAGACTATTCCATCCACCCACAGAATATATATTCTTTTTGAGCACATACAGAACACTCATCAAGGTAGACCATATGCTAGAAATGAAACATGTCTCAATAGATTTAAAAGGAGTGAAATCATAGAGTATATTCTCTGGGGGTGGGGGGGGACACAAAACTTAAGGACTTTCGTCACAAGGGTAGCTACAGGACCTCATCGTCAGTGATTATGCCTAGATTCCCTTCTCCTCAGAGCACCTGCAGAGCTTAAAAAGACAATGAAGAAAGGAACCTATGAAAGAAGATGCTTGCAGCTTTTATACCTCAGGAAATAGAATTTATTTTTAGTTCTACTTTAGTATGCGGGACTTGAGGTCGATACCGAAGCTAGAGCTTTCAAGGCGCATGAAGTTCTGAAATATGTAACCTACAGTTCCTTAAGAGTTCCAATTACCTATCAAATTATTGTGCTTTTTCTGCCAAATCTATGATAATAACTTTTACAAATAGGAACTATGATTTTGACGCTATAGTGAAATGAGTCTAGTTTAAGGTTAACATAAAAAAATAAAAAATGCAGCAGTTTGCCTGAACTTTCTTGTCTCCACAGAAATCACTAATGCCTCCAGGGACTTTGAATCCACAGCCAGAGTAATAAATATCCACAGCGAAGCATGAGTATGGATGTGCATGAACACAGGTGCATTTGATGGGGTGAAGTATCTAGAAAAACAAGATTGCAATGTGCCATGATGCACCTCTGGGCTATAAATAAGGTCTTACTGGGACATGACCGTGTTCATTCATTTACATATTATCTTTGGCTGCTTTTGCGCTATGACAGAGTTTGAAGTTGTCACAGAGACCATAAGAATTATGAAGTCTAAAATAATTTTTATCAGGCCCTGTACAAAGTTTGCCAACCCCTGATCTAGAGCAAAGATAGGGTACTCAAGGTCAAATACATTTTAGAAAACAAAATATTAAGATATGCCACTTATTTTTAAATTAGCAAAAAGGGCATAAAAGATGTTATATAAAATTTTGTATATTTAAAACAAATTAAAGCACGATTTTATAATCACCCACACATAAGAAAATACCTAGTTGCTCACCTGATATTTTGGTGCATTGTTGCACTGTGGAAAACTGCCATTGACTTCTCCATTATGTAGCAGATTATTGTCCACGAGATTCCAGCCCCAGCTCTGGTCATCACTGCCCAGCAATGCCACATAACCTTGGCACTGCATGGGGGCCCGTTTTGTGGCAATTCCTATCACTGCCACAGTGCCCAAAGGGCCCTCCCACCATACTTCCCAGGCGTGGCGACCTTCACTGAAACCAATCTTGGTCCTTGCACCATCAGTGCTCTGAGCAATAGGGTTTCGATGTAAAGTAAAGCCATTCTTCTTAATGTAGACATTCCTGGAGCAGTCATTAGTGCTGAAGGCATGTTGGAAAGCTCGTACCTGAAAAGACGAGAAACAGATCAAGAAATGGAAATTTGATTTTTCTTAAACACCAGAAAGTACACAAACTTCAGGCTACCTGCTTCTATTTATTTATTTTTAGATATTTTTGCTATAGGGTGCATGTGCTCACTGGAGAGACAGAGAGACAGAAAGCAAGAAATCACTCCCCGGGGGGATGGCCATGCAGCAGTCCCTTCTCGTCCAATCTCCTCTTGGGATTTTGGACACGTGCACACACACACCACAAGCCCAGCATGAGTTTAAGCCACAGAGAGCAGGATTCAAACTCAGTTGACTATGTAGGAGTCCAGTGATAGAACCATTATGCCATCTGCTGGTCTCCAGGCTACCTAAATAACACAGTTCTATTTTTAGACAACATAGTATTTCCAAATAATGGCTAAAGTTATAGGATGAGATACAAATACACTGTATAACATTAAATATAACTGCCAACTGCTTCATTACTGACCAAAATTCTAAGCTGTAGTATTAATTTCTCTAAATAGCCTTGCTAAAATATCAAAAGTAGGGGCTGACAGGTGGCATGGTGGTTAAGGTGCTGAACTCCCACATGGCCATCTCCCACATTCGAGTCCCAGATTTAGCAGCTTGGTTTCTTACTTTCCCTCTCTCTGTCTCTCTGGTCAGATTAAAAAATAATAATGGATAAAACTGGTGCCAGCAGGTGGCATGGTGGTTAAAGGCACTGGATTCCCACATGGCTGACCATGGTTCAAGAACTGAACCTGGAGGCTTGCTTTCTCTCTGTCTCTCTCTGGTCAAATTAAAAAATAATAACAACAAATGGAAATTAATAAATATTTTAAAAAGTGGATAAAATTAAGCAATTAATTCTTTAAAAAATGTTAAAATATATATAAGAATCCTTATATTCAAAATAACACATGGCAAGATGATTTAGGCAGTTGGATCCCACATGGCTGAATGTATAGCTCGAGTCCCAGACCCAGAGACTTTAAAAACATGCTGGGTGCATGTGTGCGCATGCCCAAAATCCTGAAAGGAGAAATTCAAAGAAGGACTGCAGTATGACCATCACCCATGGGAGTGTTTTCTTACTTCCCCTACCCTCTTTCAACATCTGTCTGTCCCTCTCCAGGGAGTGCATGAAATCTCTGGCAAATTGAAAGAGAGAGATAAAACTGGGGCCAGCAGTTAGCGTAATGGCTATGTCGCTGGACTCCCATGTAGCCGACAGTGGTTCAAATCCTGGACCCGGTGATTTAAACTCACGCTGGGTGTGTGTGCGTGCGTGCCAAAGATCCCAAGAGGAAAATGGAGGAGAAGAGATTGCAGTGTGGCCATCCCCCCCGGAGGGGGGGTGATTTCTCACTTTCTGTCTCTCTGTCTTTCTGGTGAGCGTACGCGCCCTATAGCAAAAACCTCTCAAAAAAAAAGAAAAAAAAAAAAGAGATAAAATTGAAATGTTTATGGATGAAACAATGACATCTGACAACGGCTTGGAAATATCCAGGGATGGGGACCAGCAAGTGGTGTGGTGGTTAAGGTGCTGGACACTCCCATATGGCCGAGCATGGTTCGAGTCCTGGACCTGGAGGCTTGCTTTCTCACTTTCACTTTCTCTCTCTCTCTCTCTCTCTCACATCTCTCTCATCTCTCTCTGGTCAAGTTAAAATAAATGAATGAATAAATAAAATAATTAATTAAATAAAATAAATAAAATAAATAATAAATATCCAGGGATGGAATGGTAAAGCGGGTGGGGTAAACATGAAACTAGAATGGCCATGAATTTATCATTAATAAAGCCTGGTGATAGGTATAGGGAAGCTCAGTAAACTATTTTCTCTACTTCTGTTTATATTTTTATATCAAAAAGTTGGAGATACACAGTTCTCATACTGGTAGTGCCGCCATTAAAAAGAACTGTATTTGAGAGCCGGCTCGTGGCATGATGGTTAACACAGCTGGATTCCACATGGTTGACTAAATGGTTAGAGTCCCAGGACCAGTGGCTAGAAAACATGCTGCATGGTCCCAACAATGCTGAGCACATGTGTGTGCATGAGAGCCCCCAACTCCAAACAGAGGGAGAAATGGAGAAGGGACTATGAAGTGACTATGCCCCATGGGCAATGCTTTCTTGCTTTCTCTTTCTCCTTCTCTGGTGAGCACATGCACCCTCTGGCAAAATATAAAGGAAAATTACAAAAAAGAATTTTATCTTATGTAAGGCCTTATGGTAGTTCTCAAGTTTATAACCACAACTACCTTACTTATAATACCACTCACATTTTACCAAATCAAACAATATCCTAGATAGCATCTCAAATCAACCACTAGGATTTATCATCAGAAGAACAGCCATAAACAGGATGAATTATTTGATCCTTCACTGATTACAAGTTTTTTCCTGCTTTTAATTAGCAAGGGCAGGTATGCTTACAAGACGCAGAGAAAGCAGGAAAGCACCCCCCATGCAGGGGTGGCCACACCACAATCCCTAAGCCTCCATTCTCCTTTTGGGATTTTGGGCACACATACACACATGTTCCCAGAGTGCTTTTCAAGTCACCAGCTCCAGGACTCAAACCATGCAGTCAGTCATGAAGGATCCATCTGCTTTAACCACCACCACTGGCTAGCCCAATTACAAGATTTTTTGTTTTAACTTCCAAAAGATAGTACGAAAATAGCCTTTCTGTGGAAACAATAACAATGTCTTGTAATAACAATAATAATCTAAGACTTTTGGGTTAAAATCTTTCTTTATTCGAACTACTCAAAAGCAGTGGAAGGCTGAGTCCTACTGCTCTGGTTAATCTGAGAAATAAATTCAACTCACAGAATGTCAGTATTAGGAAGAAACCTACAGCTCATACAGTCCGACTAGGGGATGAGGACACAGACCGGAAGGTCACAGCTAGTTAGTGCAGGATTCCCACAGAGAAATCAGGTACTGAGTCTCCTCAACAAGTGTATATTTACAAAAGCCAGTACTTCACTGTTCCATTGTTGTACCGCAGAGATCTTTCTGTTTATTTCCTGAGAAAGAGGAGCGGAGCAGAGAGGCACCCCTCACAGGGCCTGGCCACATCACGATGTACTCTGCCAGGATCACAGGTGCACCCAGCATGTCCAGGTCAACCTGGAGCCTTCTGGAGCTCCAGAACTGCACAGCAGCACCCTACCACCGGTGCCACCACAGCCGGCCACAGAGACGTTTTTAGAATCTGCTTGCTGTGGGCCGGATGGCAGCACAGCCATAAAACATTGCGGTCTACGAGGCTGACCCACATGAAAAGGTTCCAGGTTCATGCCCAGACAGACTTGCGTATGTCAAGTGGTGTGTATTCGTTGCACTTGGGCTGGCTGAGGCTGGGAGTGGAGGTGGATCACGGCATTGAGACCTGCTGGGGATGCTGTGTCTCTTGCTCATGAAAGCAATAATAAACTTAAAACAAAAACAAAACTCTGCTTGTTTTGGGTTTCCTATGTTTTCATTAGAGGGCTATAAGATTGAAGTATTCTTAAATATTTTCCATCTGCTCCTAGTACGCACCTTTAAGCACCTAAAAGATCAGAATATATGTAAGATTAAATGGGAGATGAAAACATTCCCAATATATTAAGTATTATACTTAACAACTCAAGAGAATATCAAGAGAATTAATTCTGCATTGTAAAATAATGAACACTGTCCTATGCCTACTCCCCAATAATTGTAATTTCCACTTTTTTCCCTCCATCTTTATATTCTTTGTCACACTGACACTACTGACAAGCTCCTTCTCAAACTTCTATATTTCTATGGCATTTTCCTGACTGATCCTCTACTGGATTCTCTTCTGGTGACCACCGTTTCTCTGAATCCTAAAATTCTCCAAACTCAGTCCTCAAACCTCTACCTGAATTTTTCTCAGACCTGTCTTTCTAAAATAACACCTTTATTACTTTTCATTTCAGGTGAAGGACCTCTGACAATTCCATATTCAGTACCGTATCAACTATAAATTCTTCTGTCTGGTTTTTAAAACCCTCCAGATGGAATTCATATTTCCCTTTCTATCTTCATGTTGTCTTGCTTGTCTTTGTGTTGTTCTCTTATCTGCTTCCCTCATCTCACATATCCTCTAAGACCTCACCTCCACGAAGCTGTTCTTAACCAGGGCAATCTGATCCTCCTCACCTCTCCCTCAATTCCTACCACCATCGTCTGCATCATACAACACTTAATTTTGTAAACCTTATTTTCTCATACAGCTCTAACCACTTGATTCTAACAAGAAAAAAAAAAAAAACTCCCAAGAAAAAAATTCTATCCGATCTGATCAAACAGCTACATGAACAACACAAAGGACAGAAGAGCACGTTGAGCAATACCATGGGAATGCAATCAGTAAAATCCAGGCAGCACGGAAGCAACCTGGTTTCTTTGACAAATAAATTTCAGGAGTGGGAATCAGGAAGATGGACAGTGAAACTCTTGACTAAGAGAGTTTTAAGAGATATAGTGATGGTCATGGAAACCTTGTACAGATCTTGATTAAACAAACTTTAAAGCAGAAACATATTGAATAAATAAATAAAAGCAACCCTTAGTTTTGTCCCAGTCTCATGTACAGCTTGGATTTTACATTATAGCAAAACAGCTTTAAGATCTAGCTTAAGATCTAAGTCTCAAATTTAGAATATTATAGTTAGATGCCAAGCATGACTGGAATAACATGTAAAACATGAACTTAAAGCAAACCCCCAGAGTCAGCAGGTGGTGTAGTGGTTAAGGCTCTGGATTCCCACACGGCCAACAGAAATTTAAGGCCTGCACCCAGCAGGTTGAAACATGCTGGGCATGTGTGCATGAGTACCCAAAATCCCAGGACGAGAATGGAGGAAGGGACTGTGCCGTGGCCATCCCTCTGGAAGGTGATTTCTCACTTTCTCTCTCTGTCTCTGGTGAGTGCACACACTCTGTGGCAAAAACCTTGGAAAAAAAAAGGGGGGTGGGGGGAGAAAACTTCTGCACAGACTGACCAATCCACACGCTTTCCAGAGATCTAGCTCAAGTGATCCCTATATTATGTAAGCCAGATACCTAGGAGTAATATTGAGTACCTCCCTCTTTCTCATTCCTATTTCAAATCTATTAAAGTCCTGTCAATTTGACTTCCTAAATCTATCAGATGTCTCTCTACCTCCTCCGCTACCTACTTCATAGATCTACCATATGCCTAAGGTCCTGCTCCAACTGTTCTCCATCCTCAAGTCACTAATGACCTCTTAAAAAGGCGAAGTAGTCATATCACCACAATTCCTCTAAATTCCTTTCTTATAGTATGAATGGATTCCACAAACTTTGACCCCAGCCCCCTCTTCCCATCATTTCAAACCGGCATCACCTTTGCTCTCTAAGCTCCATATACATATATTTTCTGTCCTTCATATTTAACAGATCCCCCTCCCCAGAGAGGCTCTTCCCTCTGCTGTAGCCTATTTATCCTTATCCTTCATGTATCACCTCCTCTAAGAAAATCTTCCATTACTGACACTCAGAGCACCAAATAGCTCTCTTTTCAGTATTTACCAGATGCAATTTTACAACTGTGTGTTATTTGATTAATATCCATTTTCCTAACTAGACTGCAAGCTCCGTAAGGCAAGGAAGTCAACCAAATGAGTCTGTCTCTTTTTATTCACCACTGTGACTGTAAACTAACCACAGTGCCTGGCATTCAGTTTATGTTTTACAGACCCTCTGTCTCCTCTTGTCCTGCTTCTGCTCAGGGTACTTGCTCTTCAAAAATGTTCAGATCCTCCTCATCTTTAAAATTCAGCTTAAACACAACCTCAGCCTTCCTTTAACCCTCCACTCAACTTGTAAATGTCCCCTTTTGCTCAACTGCTTAGTACACAGTATTTTTCTATGTCTCCAACAGCTGGAGTAATTTCTACCATGCATTATAGTTATTTCTATACATTTTTTCTCCTCTACTAGATTGAGAACTTCCATACTAGACTATCTAACTCCCTCTGAATTAATCTTTTATTCTCAAGATATTCAAGAAAAGTCCTGTGACATCTGAATGAGCATGCAATTAGTACAAGTCTACTATATCTATACTGCACACAGAAAGGCAAAGTATGAAAACTAAAGGGAACCAGCAGTTAGCGTAATGGCTGTGTCGCTGGACTCCCACGTAGTTGACCGCGGTTCGTGTCCCGGACCCGGTGGCTTAAAACTCACTCCGGGTGCATGTGCGTGTGTGCCCAAGATCCCGAGAGGAGAATGGAGAAGGGACTGCAGCGTGACCATCCCCCCTGGGGGGTGATTTCTCGCTTTCTGTCTCTATGTCTCTCTCTGTCTGTCTGGCGAGCGCACGCGCCCTACAGTGAAAATCTCTCCAAAAAAAAAGAAAAAAACTAAAGAAACCTAACCTAAAATACTACTAGAAGAATATAAAAGAAATAGTAACACAGGTAGCCTCTAAAGATGGGCACTGGGTAACTGGGAGACAAGGATGAAAGGGAGACAAATACCTTTATATTATTTTGTTTCTATTGAAATTTGACTCACATGAGTACATTATCTATTACATAAATCTTGATTAATGTGAACAGCTCTGTTACAAATCAATTATCAAAAAAATCTTAATTTAAATAAGTAAAAATATAAGCTTTATGGAAAAATAAAAACTAAATAAAACTTAAATCTATAGTTATCAGGTGAAATAGGATAAAACTGAAACCTGCGAAACCCTATACAAATTACAACTAGTATCCACTGAATTTCTACCATGCAAATATCGTCCTAGTAAACTAATGTTTTTTTTTTTCTTTTAATGGAAGCTTGATAGTTGACATTTTGGAGAGGTTTTTGCTATAGGGCGTGTACACTCACCAGAAAGACAGAGACAGAGAAACAGAAAAGAAATCATCCCCCAGGGGGGATGGCCGCAACACAATCCCTTCTCCTCCATTCTCCTCTGGGGATCTTGGGTACGCACACACATGCACCTGGCGTGCATGCACACGCACCTGGCGTGAGTTTAAGCCACCAGGTCCAGAACTTGAACCATGGTTGACTACATGGGAGTCCAGCAACATAGCCATTACCCCAACAGCTGGTCCCGATAGTTGACATATTTAATGGTAATATTCCTTATCTTATTAAACTAAAACCTATTTCATTACAGAATAAATTTTACATCTATTTATTTCACATGAATACAAAATTACTTCAGACTCCTGTTGGCAGCATTTAAAATGGAAGTTTTCCTTTTTTCGTTATTAATACATATATGGCTTCTTGTGCCATACTCAAGTGCTGTTATCCATCCGACTGAACCCATGTTCAAGACCCTTTGTTTACATGGCCAGAGGAATCCTGGAATCCTCTTGGACATGCCACAACCTGTTACTTGAAATTTTTATTTTAATGCAAAGGCACAGAAATATGAACAAAAATCCAGGAGGAAAAAAGGGAGCAGCAAAACTGGAATCAGTACAGAACCAGGCAGTATATGATAGTTAAGTGGTGCCAATGAAACAACGTTCTACTAAAGCCTGTATCTCCAAAGTTAGCTGGAAGCCTAGGACCACAATCACTAGGAAGCCTGAAATATAGTGAAGAGAAGCAAACTTGGTGAAAATAAAGATTAAGTGCCTATAAACCAGAGCTTGGACGAGGTGAGGGAAATCGGGATGAAAGTGAAGATCTTAGAAACTAACCTCACGTTAAAGCAGCCGAGATGATCTAATATAATGAAGTCTATCTGGAGACCACGGAGATTAGGATGAAAATATTAAAAGGTACAACAGTAGTGGTGGCCTGTCTTTAAGAGGGAAGACTGTCGAAAGTAGAATGACTGATGGAAATCAGAGGTGGGAAGCCACCTATTTTTTAAAAAGCCGATCACGGAAGTGGGGTTGGTTAAGGAGCAAAACTTCAATCCAAAGAAAAGAGGATCTTTACGGAGGGGGGAGGTAAGAAAGGTACAGGTTGGCGCTGTGCAAAGGCGGGATGGGGAGGGAAGGTCTGACTCAGAAGCTGAGATGAGAAGCACTGAGCGCGGCGCGGCGGAGCGGGACCCGGGCGGCGGCGTGGCCCGGGGCTCCCTCACCTTGGCCTTGTAGCTGGGCAGGTTGCAGAGGATGTCCGTGCGCAGAGCCTCTTCTGCCAGGCTGCGGGCACACAGGCTCCGCCACACCTCGCTGTTCTCGTCGCCGTGCAGGCAGCGGTACCAGTGCTTGCACACCAGGGCGCAGCTCCGCAGCTCGGACAGCTCCAGGTAGGAAAACACCAACTCCAGCACCCGACTGGGCAGCCGGCCCCCGGCCCCCGCGGACCCAGAGCCCGCGCCCGCGCC